AAAAGTCCATAAATTAAAATTAAAATTTAATTCTGAAGGCTTATTTCAGAATTGGTTGTCGGCCTGTTCAAGAAGGTAGAAATTGTAAGATGATCTTGAGTATAGAAATATGTATGACTTTGACACAAATACTTTTAAACTTTTCATTTTAATTGCGGAACAGTTTTTAGACATGTATGTGATATCAATAGCTTCAGGTACAAATAGGCTTATTTCTGGATACTTAAATTCCCCAGGTTTCTTCAAGTTGAATTAACATTTCATCATCTTCTTTATCCTGATCATTGAGGTCAGCCTTGTCAGTGTCTGTGTTGATTGGCACTATTTTATCAATAGAAGGATGTCTTCTAAATCTGTGTTTCCAAGTTTTAAGGAAATAATCCAAGCAGAAGTATCCTTCTGCAATGTTTGATTTTTGTCTTTGGATTTCTGCATATAGCTAAATCTCTAAGGCTTTATTCTCTCTTCTCTATTTACAGACGCACTTTTTTTTTTTTTTTTTTAGATGGAGTCTTGCTCTGTCACCCAGGCTGGAGTGCAGTGGCCTTTCTGTAGCTTTAGATATTTAGTTTAGTTAGCTTGGTTTTCTGTGTCCAATTTTATCTTTGAGCACAGCAAAAAAATAGTTTAACCAAAAGAATTTTGTTTTGTTTTTACCAGCATCCATAATGATGACTGTAGCCTTTTTATTCAGCTTTATTCAAGTATAATTAACAGATAAAAATGGTATGAATTGTCTGGGCGCAGTGGCTCACACCTGTAACCACAGCACTTTGGGAGACTGAGGCAGGTGGATCACAAGGTCAGGAGATCGAGACCATCTTGGCTAACACAGTGAAACCCCATCTCTACTAAAAATACAAAACATTAGCCAGGCATGGTAATATGTGCCTGTAGTCCCAGCTACCTGGGAGGCTGAGGCAGGAGAATCGCTTGAACCCGGGAGGCAGAGGTTGTAGTGAGCTGAGATCGCACCACTGCACTTCAGCCTGGGTGACAGAGCGAGACTCCGTCTCAAAAAAAGTATCGATTTTAAAACTTGATTTTTTAATATATGTATATATTGTGCAATGGGCACCACAGTCAGGTCAGTTAACATATTTATTGCCTCACATAGTTAACCTTTGTGTGTGTGTGTAAGATGAGAACACTTACGATCTACTCGCTAAACACATTTCAGGTACAAAATACAATAGTGTTAACTATAGTCACCATGCTGTACATTCCATCTCCAGATCTTATTCATCTTGAGTAATGGAAACTTTACACTCATGACCAGCATCTCCCCATTTCCCCATTTCTCCCTCCCTCCAGCCCTGGCAACCACCATTCTGCAGTCTTCTATAAGTTTGACTATTTTAGATTCCACATAAAAGTGAGATCATGCAGTATTTATCTTCCTGTGGCTAGCTTATTTCACTTGCAAATTTACTTTATGAAGCTAGTGTTATCCTGATACCAAAACCAGAAAAAGACAGTATAACAAAACTGTAAGACAGCATCTTTCTTGAATACTGATGCAGAAATCATTAATAAAACATTACTAAAAATAAGTCAATAATAGATGAAAAAGTTATATGATGAACAATTGATGTACTCCAGACTGGTTCAGTGTTTGAAAAATCAATCAAAGAACAAAGTAGGAAGAATTAATTTATAGGATTTAACAACTTATACAGCTATAGTAAGCAAGGGTGTGTGGTATTAGCAGAGTGTAGACCAATGGAACAAGGTACAGAACCCATGACAACAACCACACAAATATGCCCACCCAGTTTGTTACAAAAATGCAAAAGCAATTCAATGCAGAAAAGACAGCCTCTTCAGAAAATAGTACTGGAGCAACTGGACATTCACAGGCACATACACACAAAATGAACCTTAACCTAAACTTCACAAACTTTAATCACGATTTAACTCAAACATACCAGGGACTTAAATGCAAAATGTAAAACTGTGACACTTTTAGAAAAATATAGGAAAAAGTCTTCAGGATCTAGGACTAACGAAAGAGTTCTTAGATTTGCCACCCAAAGCACTACCCATTAAAATTTTGATAAATTGTACCTCATAAAGTCTTTTCTTTGTGAAAGCCCGTAAGAAGAGCATGAAAAGACAAGCTACAAACAGGGAGAAAACATCTGCGAAACCCATATCCCTTAAAACTAACATCTAGAATATATAAAAAACTCAAATAATAACAATGAAAACAAAAATCCAGTTAGAAAATGGTCAAAACCATGAAGAGCCATGTCACTGCAGAGGATACACAGATGGCAAATAAGCATACAACATGTTCCGCATCACCAGCCGCTAGGGAACTGAAAATGGAAGCCGTAATTAGGTGTCACTGTTTGTGATGCTCTACAGAGGGGCCCTGGGCAGAGGCCAGTCCCATCATTCCGAGCTCTGCTCAGGCCCTCTGTGCTGGACACTCTGAAGGCCATTCTATTCGCCTTTTCATGAACAGTGACAAAACAAAATGCTGGTGAGGATGTGGAGAAACTGTTTCACTCATACATTGCTGGTGGGGGTGTAGAATGACACAGCCATCCGGTAAACAAACAAACAAACAAAAAAATTAGGCCAGGCGCAGTGGCTCATGCATGCAATCCCAGCACTTTGGGAGGCCAAGGTGGGTGGATCATCGGAGGTCAAGAGTTCGAGACCAGCCTGGTCAATATGCAGTAACCCTCTCTCTATTAAAAATACAAAAGTTAGCTGGGTGTGGTGGCAGCGCCTATAATCCCAGCTACTGGCGAGGCTGAGGCAGGAGAGTCGCTTGAACCCGGGAGGCAGAGGTTGCAGTGAGCTGAGATTGCACCACTGCACTCTAGCCTGGGTGACAGAGCGAGACTCCATCTCAAGAAAAAAAAAAAAAAAATTAAACATGCAATATTATACACCCGGAAATTGTACCCCTGGGTGTTTATCCCAAAGGAAGTCTTGAGTTTAAACAAAACCTGTATCTGGAGGTTTATAGCAGCTTTATGCACAATAGTCCAAACTGGAAACAGCCTGGATGTCATTCAATGGGCAAATGGTTCCATCTGGTACATCCACACAGTGGAACACTACATGGCTAGAAAAAGGAAAGAACAATTGATCCATGCAACAACCTGGAGGAATCTCTGATGAGTAACTGAAAAAAACTATTCCCCAAAGGCTACATACCATACAATCCCATTTATATAACACTGTTGAAATAACAAACTTATTAAAAGAAGAGTATTTCAGGGGTTGCCAGGAGTTAGGCAGGGGCTGAGGGCAGGAGGGACGTGCATGTCCCCCATAAAGGGCAGTGAGACGGTTTCTTCTGCTGACCCTCTTGACTGTATGGATGTCAATATCCTGGTTATGATATTGTGCTTTCTGGCTGTTACCGCTGGGGGAACCTGGACGTAGGGCCTAAGGGGTCCCTCTAATCCCGCTCTACTAGTTGTTACAACTACATGTAAAACTGTAATTATCTCAAAATAATGTTTCCTAAAAAAATAAGACCATGGGCCGGGTGCGTAGCTCACGCCTGTAATCCCAGCACTTTGGGAGGCGGAGGCGGGCAGATCACCTGATGTCGGGAGTTCCAGACCAGCCTGACCAACATGGAGAAACCCCATCTCCATGTATTAACAAATACAAAGAGTTAGCCAGATGTGGTGGTGCATGATTCCAGCTACTTGAGAGGCTGTGGCAGGAGAATCGCTTGAACCCAGGTGGCAGAGATTGCGGTGAGCCGAGATTGTGCCACCCTACTCCAGCCTGGGACAAGAGCTAGACTCCGTCTCAAAAAAATATAATAACAATGTGTCCAGAATTTATTCCTTCTGGTGGGTTCTTGGTCTCGCTGACTTCAAGAATGAAGCCGTGTACCTTTGTGGTGAGTGTCACAGCTCTTAAAGATGGTGGGGCCGGAGTCTGTTCCTTCAGATACGTCCAGAGTTTCTCCTTCCAGTAGGTTCTTGGTCTCACAGACTTCAAGAATGAAGCCACGGACCTTCACGGCGAGTGTTACAGCTCTTAAAGGTGGTGCAGACCCCAATGTGGAGAACAAAGAAAGAACAAAGCTCCCACAACATGGAACAGGATGTGATCAGGTTGCCACTGCTGGCTGGGGCGGCCGGCTTTTATTTCCTTATTTGGCCCCGCCCATGTCCTGCTGATCGGTCCATTTTACAGAGTGCTGATTAGTCCATTTTTACAGAATGCTGATTGGTGCATTTACAATCCTCTAGCTAGACACAGAGCACTGATTGGTGCATTTACACTCCTCTCACTAGCCAGAAAAGTTCTACAAGTCCCCACCCCACCCAGAAGCCAGCTGGCTTCACTTCTCAATGAGACCACCGAGAAATGGGGGAAAATGAACGTAACACAGAGTGATTATGCCAGGTATGTGTTTTTATCCAAAAACTATCTCCTGAAGTAAGATATCAGCTTCAATTTTAATATGAGGATCTGGGGGCTCAGAAACATGAAATAAAAGTTCTGGCTGGGCGCAGTGGCTCACGCCTGTAATCCCAGCATTTTGCGAGGCCAAGGGGAGTGGATCACCTGAGGTCAGGAGTTCAAGAGCAGCCTGGCCAAGATGGTGAAACTCCGTTTCTACTAAAAATACAAAAATTAGTTGGACATGGTAGCGGGCGCCTGTAATCCCGACTACGTGGGAGGCTGAGGCAGCGAATTGCTTGAACCCAGGAGGTGGAGGTTGCAGTGAGCGGAGATTACACCACTGCACTCCAGCCTGGGCAACAAAGTGAGGCTCTATCTCAAAAAAAAAAAGGTTTCTATGGTCACACAGCCAGGAAATGAAGGCAGGATTGAGCAGTTACCTCTGGGGTAAAAGCTGTCCCTTACTACAAAGGGGCTTCCATGCAGGAAGCATGATGCAGGAATGAAAGGACGGGTCCCAGGTCACCGGAGGGCTGAGCCCCCTCCCTGTCCCGTGGTGTCTCTACAATTGGAGGTTCAACCCAAGCCACAAGCACAAGCCAGAAAGGGATGAGGTCACGGTCGTTCATTTATTCCACATTTATTCTCATTGCACCAGGTGAGGAGGGGAAGGAGTCACGCACTAACATACACAGATTGTGCTACTTTTCAGTCTTTCTGAAGAATCGGGATCCAGATTCTAATTGTCTTCAAGATCTGGATCAGTCAGTAGAGATGGCCCACTGTGGTAGGGGGCCTGGGGCTGCTGGGGGAAAAGCAGGATTCATATATGGAGCATGACCATTCGTGTTCCAGGGCTCCCATTCGGGTACCGGAGGATTTTCCACATAGATCACAGGTGTCGGGGCCCACGTCAGCTCCTGAACGGCTATGGGAACGCCACAGGCCTGGGGCTGGTGCTGGGGAGGTGCGAGGTCAACCGCATCTGCACAGGGAGGACCTGAGAGAGACAGAAGACACATGGAGGGCTCGTGAGGGCATCACCCACCCTGTACCTGAATCCTTGCCTGTGACCTCACCCAGCCCCGGGGCCATGTCCATTCTGAACAAGTCCCTGAACAAAATCCTCAGCATTATTACTTTGGGGAAGAACAAAAAGGAAAAATAGAGGCAGGCAGCCCGTCAGAGCAGCAAGTCCCTGTGCTGTGTGCCAGGGACTCTGGGCAGGGGCCTGTCTCGTCATTCTCTGCTCTACTCAGGGCACAAGGATGGTGGGGGTGGGGTGGAGGAAGCCAATGGCAGTCACTAAAGGACTATGAAGATGAATACAAAACACACAAACCTGAGAAGACGCCGATTTTCCATCTGTATCCCAGAATCCTGTGCAGGGCCTCGCCATAAGGACATGGCAAGGGTAGGCACCTTGGCCTCTGGTTGGCCTCCTGAATAGTGAAGTATAAGTCCTGCAAGCTTATTAGCATCTGGAGACATTCCTGCCAGCTCTTCTTCATACCTCTCTGCTTGAGACGCTGGGCAATTGTTTTTGATACTACGTGATACTTCTTCTTCACCCTGTACACTTCACGTTCAAGAAATTCCCATTCTTGCAGGAAACTCTGGATTTCCTGGTCACTCCAAGGTTTAATTGACCGGACTGGAAGGAAAGAGGAATATGGATGTACTTTGGCATAACTCACCGGCACATGTGCAGGATGCTGCCTCTACACGGACAGGTCCGAACTTGACTTTATTCAGTTACGGGAGATAATAGGACCTCAAATGAGAAGTGAGAGATTCGGTATCTGCCTAAGTCCTGATGCCTGACACATCCGGTTACTGGGACAGGCAAGGAGGCACCTGAGAGCCTGGGTCTTGCTCAACTTCCTTAAAATGTCTCAGAGGATACTGACAGGGTGTGATGGCGTATTTGCTGCCTGGGAGCGCTCCTCTGATGTGGGACTCACATCCCACCCCTGCGGGGCCTCTTACTGTCACCTGGGCTGTGGGCAGGGAGCTTGGGGGATGCTGAGGGCAGCCCTGGAATCCCTTGAGATGCCCCCTCTTGGGGCTGGGATGAGCATATCAGACTCGAGAAGACGGAGGTGGGCTGGAAAATTTTCTCTACTACATATAAGACTCTGAGGACCCCATACCTGAGGCCTTTTCTGATTCCTGGGCTGCATTTTTCTGCTTCATTTTCTGGATGTTTCTGGTAGTTTCCGTGGGAAGTGTTACTTTCTAATAATAATAATAATAAAAAGATAAATATTTACATATTAGAATCTCTCTTTTTTTTTTTTTTTTTGAGACAGAGTCTTGCTCTGTCACCAGGCTGGAGTGCAGTGGTGTGATCTCAGCTCACTGCAACTTCTGCCTCCTGGGTTCAAGTGCTTCTCCTGCTTCAGCCTCCCAAGTAGCTGGGATTGCAGGCACGCACCACCACACCTGGCTAATGTTTTGTGTTTCTTTAGTAGAGACGGGGTTTCACCATGTTAGTCAGGCTGGTCTCGAACCCCTGACCTCAAGTGATCCGCCTGTCTCAGCCTGTCTTGGTCTCCCAAAGTGCTGGGATTACAGGCGTGAGCCACTGCAACTGGCTCCCCTTGTATTTAAAAAGTAAACTGCCAGACGAACAACATGAACCCAGGGGTTTTAGACACTGGACAAGGGCGCAGGGGACAGTGGAGTGAAGGCAGGAAACAAGACTTGGGGCTCCTACAAGTACTCAGCTCAAACCTGCATCCAGTTCCCAGGCTGGAGAGCAGGGAGAGGGAAATCAAGCAGAGCATGTGTGTTCTCCCGAGCTGGGAACTTCGGGAGAGTCTGCTGGACCTCACAGTGGCAAGTATAGGACACAGAAGCAGCACTGAGGAGAGGGTGGAGAGAGGGAAGGGAGAGAGCTCTGTGGATCTACTGGGAAGTTCCCCGTCCAAGCAGAGATCAGAGCATGAATGAGACGAAACTGCCCGGGCTGGGAAAGCACCGCGAGAAAGGACCAGGCTGAAAACTTCCTGGGGTCACTCTGGGCGGTGAAGAATCTGAGTCTCCACAGCTGGAGTGAAAAGTCTGCCTAGTCCAAGGGCCTTTGAAGAGAGTGCTGGGGGAGCAGGGCCTCAGCAGTGGGGTCAAATGACCCACAGACTGAAGTTTCTCCTCATACCAACTAACAAAGATTCAAAACGATCCCCCAAAACATGAGTCTAATTCCAAATAATTTAACTGCATGACAAAGAAAAGCCCAACATTAGTTAAAGGAACACGAAGCATTTGGCACCTAATCACGTAAAATGCACAGGGCTGGCCTCCTACCTTCAATGGCCCGGCATACAACAAAACAGAGAAACACAATTCACCACTGGTAGAAAATCCATCAAGAGACCAAGAAATGACACAGATGGTGGAATTAGCAGAGCTAGACTTCAAAACAGCTACTAGAGAACGCCTGTGGCTGAGCGTACAGAGGAAGCGGGCACCTGCGAGGGTAAGATGGCTCATGCCTGTAATCCCAGCACTTTGGGAGGCCCAGGCGGGTGGATCATGTTAGGAGATCCAGACCATCCTGGCTAACACACGTTGAAACCCTGTCTCTACTGAAAATACAAAAAAAATGAGCCGGGCGTGGTGGCGGGCGCCTGTGGTCCCAGCTACTCGGGAGGCTGAGGCAGGAGAATGGCGTGAACCCGGGAGTTGGAGCTTGCGGTGAGCCGAGATCGCGCCACTGCACTCCGGCCTGGGCGACAGAGCGAGACTCCGTCTCAAAAAATAAATAAATAAAATAAAAAGGAACAGCGTACATTTCAATGGCTGCAAAAATTCTTGTGAGATGAAATAAAAGACAACCCCAGCCACCCTCCCACGAAACAGGCATCGGGCTGCCTTAAAGTTACCTCCATTTTTCCTCCTGAGTGCGTTCCCGGGAATCTGTCTTCTCGCTGCGCCTGCAGGGCCTGCTCTGTTCCTGGGTTGGCGGAACACTGGTACTTAGTCTCCGCTGACCGAACCTAGGAGAGTTGGGGGAGCCGGAGTGTGGAAACGTGTTTGCTTCTCTGAGCTTCTGGAGGTCTCTGAAGCCAGTGCAGATCGACCATGTTTAAATATCCTAAATGTGATTGGGTTAGACCCACCCAACCTTGAGGCTTTGGATTAACTAAAGATAAACTAATTTAGTACTTTAATCACATCTGCAAAATCCCTTCATCCAGACTAGAATATGATTGAATAACTGCGACAGGGAGATTGGAGATCAGCTCGGCAGGGGTTCTGAGGGTCTCTGAGCCCAGCATCTTCAAAGGCAAAGGGACGGGTTGTTACATTCCCACAGATCACCCCTTCTCCCTGAGTTGGCGCTGATGGTCAGCGACGTCCTTAGGGTTTGGCCTCTGAGGATTAACTGTGATGTAAGGATTCAGGGAAGAGACTGGGCTTCAGCTGGGTGAGGGTGAATGGATCGTCATGGATGGCAGTTATGGATGTGGGACCCTCTCTGAGAAGCTTAGATTGAAAAGGAGTTTAGGGTAGGGAGGAGAGAGGCAAACAGAGCTTTCTCCTGACAAGAGGACAGACTTGAGATGTGCATATACAGAAGTGAGGAAGCAGAGAGGGATATTGGAGGGTGGTTAATAGTTTGGGAAAGTAAGTGATGGTGGGGACCGAGAAGGAGGGTGCTGAGTACCCAGCATGGGAGGGAAACAACTCCTAGGTTGGTTTTTGGCTTCAGAATCTCAGATGCAGTCCAGGATTAGGGATGCCCCTCAGAATAAATCTTAACTCTTGGGATTGATTCCACTCTACTCGGCACAATCCTGATTCATGGCTTTTAGCTCATGACAGCATCTGAGAAGACAGGAAAGGGGGCTTTACAGTGATTGGTACTTTATTTCTACCCATGTTTTACTTTTAGAGGCAGGGTCTTGCTCTGCTGCCCAGTCTGAGGTGCAGTGGCATGATCATAGCTCACTGCAGCCTCAAACTCCTGGGCTTAAGTGATCCTACTGCCTCAGCCTCTCAAGTAGCTAGGATTACTACAGGTGCTTGTGCCACCATACTTGGCTTTTTTTTTTTTTTTTTGTAGCGACGGGGTCTCACTACGTTGCTCAGGCTGATTGCGAACTCTTCATTTCAAGCAATCCTTCTGCCTCGGCCTCCCAAAGTGCTGAGATTGCAGGTGTGAGCCACCATGCTTGGCCTAGTGGTACCCTGTTAAGTCAGAACAAACTCCATGTGTATTGGCTTAAGACTAATCTTTGCTTCTTTCCATGTTGTCTAAAAATACCACATTTTCTTCATTTCCACAGACATTTCAGGCCTCCGTTTCCGGATGCCCATATGTCCAGGAAACTGTTCTCTGTGCTTCCCACTTTGGGCCTGTCCAATACACCCCCACTCTGCCTCAGGGACCATCTGAGACAAAAATCTGACCAGTTATTCCTTCCTCTCCCCCAAATGTTAATGAACATCGTCTTCTTCCCCAGGCTTGAGCCTTCTGTCTTGTTTGAGGCAAATAGAAACTTTAGGCATCTCAGCTCTACATCTAGCAGGAGCCTCCACTCAGCGTATTCACCCCCAGCATCACCTCCCATTCAACTCATCTTCAGGGTTTCTGCCTTGGTATAAATAGCAACTGCATCCAGGCTGTTTCAAAAACAGAAGTGCAGAAATAATTCCTGAATTATTTATTCCCAATGACAGCTTCTTCTCAATCAGAAATGATTGATAGCTGATTTTCATTCCTTCTTTTTTTTTTTTTTTTTTTTTTTCTGATAGAGTCTCACTCTCTCACCCAAGCTGGAGTACAGTGGTGCAATCTCAGCTCACTGCAACCTCTGCCTCCTGGCTTCAAGCAATTCTCCTGCCTCAGCCGCCCAAGTAGCTGGGATTACAGTCGTGTGCCTCCACACCGGGCTTCTCTTGTATTTCTAGTAGAGAAGGGTTTCACCACGTTGGCCAGGCTGGTCTTGAACTCCTGGCCTCAGGTAATCCACCCACCTTGGCCTCCCAAAATGCTGGAATTACAGGCATGAGCCATCGCAACCGGCCTGATACCCTATTTTCTAAATAAGTACCATTAACTGACTTTTTATTCATGCTGAAATTAAAATAGTGCAGGCATCAAGGTTCCTTCCACAGGCCACAGCTGTTGCATTCTAATGGGGATCCTGCTTATCTTGTCCTCGGTATGCACCCAAGCCTGTTTCTGTGACTTTTCGGGGCAGACGTTCTTCATTCCATGGCTGTGGGGCAGCTTCAGATCAAGCCGATTGTCTCTGTTTGTCCGGGCTCCAGGCTTCTCCCATTTCCTGAACACACCGGGCACTGCGTGGCCCTGCGGCGTCTGCTGCTTCTGCTTGTTGCTCTGCTCCATCACCAGTCACCCAGCAGGCCCGCTCCTCCTGCAGGTCCCCGTCGCCCTGGGCATGGAGGCCTTCTCCAACCCTGGCACTCCTCACAGGCGCTGCCTCACCATGCTGTCCTCAACTTGGACACAGTACATTTCGACACAACTCCCTGGTCAAGTCTAGCTCTCCCACTGGCCTATGCATTCAGGGAAATTGTGGATCGTGTGTACAGGTGAATCCCGTGAAAGGACAGCTTCCCAGCCCTGACTCTACGATGGAATCCGCTGGAAGGCTTTCTCAAAGGCCAATTCCAGTCGTACAACTTCAGTTATCCTGGGCTGGTCACTGTGTGGTGAAAAGTCCTCTGGTGGTTCTAACACTAGTCAAGCATGAGCTCTTTGCCTTAAACGAGTGTCATGGGCTTTGCCATGAACTACACTGAGTCCAGGGGCCACCTTGGTCCTGCCCCACCTCACTGGGCCCCTGGGAGGTGGGAGATTAGATTAGAACTGCCCAGGCTGCAGGCTAGCACTCCAAAGAGAGGGTGTGACCACCCTGAGAGTCCCTTCTCAGAGATTCCAGTGTGGCCATCCAGGGTGATCCTGAGCACCAGGAGCTCAGAGGGTCCCAGGTGGGTCTGATGCACAATCCGGGCTGAGAGGCTGAGCTTGAAGAGGCTCCGAAGGCCAGGGACCGTTTTATTTCTGACGACAGATGGAAGTGCCACGGCAGCTCTGGGGCCTAAGCCAGGAGATTGGGGCCTGACTTAGGAAAGCCTTCTTGGGCTTTCAGATGTATTAGACAGGAGGGTGTGAATTTAAAAGAAACGGTTTTCACACATTTTCAGGGCTGCTTGTCTTTTCAAGGGTGAGGAAACATGGGTGTTCAGTTTTTTTGTTTTCTGTTTTTTGTTTTTTTTTTTTTTGAGACAGAATCTTGCTCTGTCACCCAGGCTGGAGTGCAGTGGCGTGATCACTGCAAGCTCCGCCTTCCAGGTTCACACCATTCTCCTACCTCAGCCTCCCAAGTAACTGGGACTGCAGGTGCCCACCATCACGCCTGGCTAATTTTTTTGTATTTTTTTTAGTAGAGACGGGGTTTCATAGCCAGATAGTCTCGATCTCCTGACCTCATGATCCACCTGCCTCGGCCTCCCAAAGTGCTGGGATTACAGGCGTGAGCCACCGCGCCCGGCCAGGTGTTCAGTTTTAAACATTTGGGAAAATCATCTAATTTAGGGGATACTGTTTCAATGTTTCAGTGTAAAAAATTAATATATGATGAATTTTGGCTGGATTTTTGGAAACTAGAAGGGCAACAGGGTAGAATACTGGGGGAGTGACTGAAAGTAACGGAAGTGTAAGGTAATGGGGTGTGTCTGCATGAAGGAAGATCTGCACGGGTCAGACACTGGACAGGCTTCCCTGGATTAATTTTAAAAATATATATATTTTTAATTAGTGTGGTGGTACATGCAGCTACTTGGTAATCCCAGCTACTTGGGAGGCTGAGGTAGGAGACTCTCTTGAACCTGGGAGG